GACGCCCAGTTGCCCAAAGATCGGTTTTCTGCACAGAGGCCTGAAGGTGCAGACTCCACCCTGAAGATTCAGCCTGCACAGCTGGAGGACTCAGCGGTGTATCTCTGTGCCAGCAGCTTAGACACAGCCAGGCAGGGACCGTTTCCTGCTGTGCACAAAGCTCTGTGCTTCTCTGGCTCTGTGCAGCTCAGAGCTGCACTGCACAGGGCCTGCGCTTTCCTCACCATCTGAGGAAGGAGGAGGAGGCCCGTCTTCAGATGCCGGCTTCACTCATGTCAGGAGAGGCCAGCCATTGCTTCTTGAGACATGAGTGCTGCAAACGTGTGAAAAGGATATCTGAGGGACTGGAAGCAATCAAGAACCCCAAAGTGACAGTCTCTCAGGAGAGACCTGGGTGTCCCAGAGCCCAGATGTACCTTGTTCATTAACCATGCACTCCCAAAACACACAGCCAACTCAGTACCATAGAATTGCTTGACATGCTCAACTGTTTTGCTGTTTCTCTGTGGTTCCTGAGTGGCTGAATGTGACCCTTGCTGGTATCCTTGGAATTAGCTTCTTGGTCTAGCTTCCAATCTTTCTTTCCATGTGGATTTTCCTGCATTTCTGCTTTGTTTTATAGATTTTTCACCCTCTGTGCATATGGAAATAACTTCATAATAATGATTGTGGAGAGCCCTGCAGGGAGTCTCTCTGCATCATAAGCTTGACTATCTCGCTGGAACATCTCTTGAGGCTATTTACAGAATCTGGTCTTTGCATCCTGCCCCAAACAAAGACCAGGTAGCTGCTATTGACCACCTTTTCACATTGCCCTAAGCAAGCATCCTGCAGCCTCTACCCCAATGAAAAGCTTCCTTATTCTAAGCATATAAATACCCCTGTGTGAAAAATAAAATTTGGCAGCTTGATCAGAATCCTTGTCTTGCTGTCCTTCTTCGTGTCTCTTGTCCCTTCATTCCTTCTAGCTTAGGTTCATTGCCCTCGTTGAAGTCCTGCGGGTCGGGACAAATGATGTTGTGTTGGTGATGATGATGATGATGGTGATGGTCATTTATGTATTTCTGTCAGCAACTTCACAACTGCAGGGAAATACACATCCTAAACCGAAGTCTTGATTCAAACCAAATTCTGCTTTTACTAGAGCACTCTTAAGTTTTTCCATTGGGACCCTCCCAGCCATGCACTGTTTTGGCTTGGGTCAGATGGTGGAGTGGGAACAGTGCATTATTGAAAAGTCATTGACTGGGAATGTTCTGAAGGTGTTCTCTCTTTCCCCAGCCCATCCTGCCATCTCTTCCCTCTTCATCTAGCCTACCTGCAGGCAAAATAGATCCTGTCAATCACTGATCCTTATCTAATAAACTTGTCTGACACAACCAGTCATGGGATGGATCAACATGACCATTAACCATGTCTTTAGCACCATTGTTACTTGGTTCTTTTCCCAACCTCTTATGTGACTTCTCACAGTTACTAAGTCCCTCATGGTATAATTTCTAGATCATCTTTAGTGTCTTTGAACATAAAAATAAGATATTTAGAGAGGAGTTTGCCTTATTATTTTCACTTCTGAAGGCTGTGGGCAATTGCCTTTTCTTCCTCCTTCTCTTACAGTCAGTACACGAATTGGGGGAGAAGTCAGAGGTCTCTGAAGGTAGATGGCAGCCAGCCTTAGGGTTTCCAGTGCGAAACACTGGTGAAATATGCAGGTGTGGATGAGGAGTGAGGAGAGGGCCCAGAGACCCCAAGTGAGCTGTGGGAAGCAGCAGTGTGGGATGCGGAGTGGACTCCACCAGGCCAATCTGGCTCTGAATCAGCTGTGTTGAAATCAACTTCTGAGGAGCCATGATTTCTGTGTTCTAAGCCTGGCCATTTTCTCATCTTACTGATTGTGATCTTAACTCACAGTAATTTTTGTTCCTTCTTTCTGGCTCCTGATAGAAGGGTGCATCTCAGGGCTGATGGCATTTTCGGGTTAATTAATATCAAGTTACTCCAGGGCTCAATGATGTCATTGTCCCAGTGGGACAAGGGCTGCCCTCCTCTCCCATGGCTACTTACAAAGGACTGTGATAGGGTGACTTCCTCCTCCTCCTCCTCCTCTTGCTCTTCCTCCTCTTCCTCCTCCTACTCCTCTTCCTCTTCCTCCTCCTCCTTCTCCTCCTGCTCCTCCTGTTCCTCCACCTCCTTTCCTTCTGCCATGAGCACCATGCTCCTCGGCTGGGTGGTCCTCTGCCTCCTCGGCACTGGTAAGTCATCAACTAGCACTAAGCAAGCAGTCCTGTTGTGTGTATGTATTTGTGTGAGTGTATGTGTGTCTGTGTTTGTGTATAATGATTTGAAAAAGAATGTCCTTCTGTATTCCAAGGTCATACCGATTCTGGGGTCTCCCAGTCTCCCCGACACAAAGTCACAAAGAGGGGACACACTGTGCTACTCAAGTGCAACCCCATTTCTGGACATGGATGTCTTTATTGGTATAGACAGACCCCGGGTCAAGGCCTAGAATACCTGACCCACTTCCAGTATGAAGTTGCTGCAGAAAAACCTGAGATGCCTGTTGAGCGGTTCTCTGCACAGAGGCCCAATGGCTCCGTCTGGACTTTGAAGATGCAGCCTGCAGAGCAGGGAGACTCGGCCCTGTACCTGTGTGCCAGCTGTCAGACACAGTGTGCCTCAGCTCCCTCCTTCCTGAGCACAAACCATAAGGGCTCAGCCTCCTCCCACTTCCCAGAGACCCAAACTCAGGAGTTGCCTGGCCTGCTCCTCTTCGAAGGGAACGAAGGATTTGGAACCAGAATGGAGATCTGACAGCAGGAGGACAGGAAATATCCACTGAATTACTACAATAAGGAAGTCAGGATGGGAAAAAACTGGAGGTAAGCTTTCTGACATTACAATTATTGCCAAGATTCAACATCTGGAATTGGACTTGAAAGCTTAATCTCAAAGACCATGAGAAGTAAGTGTTCTACTGGAAGTTTATATACTTTAACATATTTACAATAAACTTCTGGGCTGAGTGTCACTAACACTCATATACAAATTGAAGAGTTGGCCATCCAGAATAAAGTAACACTAAGACATTTTGTAGCTATCAGTCCTTTACAAAAATGTAGGATTGTGGGCTGGGAAGGTGGCTCAGTGGTAGAGCGCTTACCTTGCATGCCTGAGGCCCTGGATCAGATTCCTCAGCAGCACATAAGCAAAAAGAAAACATCCAGAAGTGGCACTGTGGCTCAAGTGGTAGAGCACTAGCTTTGAGCTGAAGAGTTGAGGGATAGGGCTCATGTCCGGAGTTCAGGCCCCACGACTGGAGCCCCCCCCTGAAAAAAAGTAAGATTATAAGTAAGATTTACCATCAAAATCAATTATCCACAAGCAATTGTCAGTATTTGTAATATACCTAAAAGTATGTCCATATGATACTTTATGAATTTTTTGAAAGTCATTTTTAATGTCCTCTTTTTGCTCAATTTTAGAAAATATATCTCACCTGAGGTGTTAAAAGGAAGTTCACAGATCCAAACAGCAGTATCATCTACACTGTAACTTCCTTTGAGGCTTCTAAAGTACGTGTGTCAATTTACACTCACACAAGAGGAATAGCAGACTTTCAGTTTGTTCTCTGTTAGATTTTCAATTGTTTCAGTGTTACTTGTCTATTTTTACTGGTTGTTGATTAATTGCATATATGTACATACTGCTGCATGGTAATCTAATACATATCCTCTCTTGAATAATTTAAAATAATTTTTGATTAAGCTATTGTAGTTGCACAAATTTATGGATGTTATAAATAACTATTTCCTGTTCAATATTTTGAAAATCAGAAGTTCTTAAGAACAAATCTCTCCATTTCACCTGTTTTTAGGTGGTAATCCATATTTGATACCGGTTTAAGACAATACGATTTCCAAATGACCTTGCTTTCCCATATTTCCTTGTAAAAGTTTTGAATTACCACTCTCACCACAACGTCCCAAGTTATAGTTGTTAAATCCACTAAAGACAATGGAATTATGAAAGTGATAACACTACCCCACAGGTTGGATTGACCAAACTAAGAAAGGAACAAGAAAGGCATGGAAGGAAAAAGCATACCAAAATGCAGACACCAGATAAACAGTTGAATCACATCTGAGCAGTGTTAATGTTCTTATTTAAAGGCATGGATGTTGCATCTAGACCACTAGACCACTAGACCATTCATTTGTGTGAATGTGTGAGGATTGGGGTTCAATCCCCAGCAGCCCAAAAAAATAATCAAAACAAAACAAATAACTGCAACAAATCAAGATGTCCCCTAGAAGAAATTCAATCTTGCAAGTATAAAGAAACAGGATAGAAAAGTAAAGAGACAGGAAAAAGTAGCATACTAATACTAATGGCCCAAATCAAGACATTAATATCAATGTTTCAGAATAAATCATATCACTTTAGAATTAAATAATATATTTTATTATGTATAACATGTATTATATTTGCTATTTCTATTATGTCTGTTTTATGAAAATGTATTTGGGAAGTATATTCATAATTCAAATAATATCTAGGAATCACTTAGAAAGAACACATGATTTAACCTAAAAATTAGCAAAAGAATTGATAGGATCTTACAAATGTAAGATACACAAGCAGGCAGCTTCCTCTTCATATGACTGCTCCATTTGCTGCGGCAGCCATGGAGAAGCCTTGTTGACTGAGGGAATCCATGGTGCTTCCCTTCTGGGCATCACCAGAGGTCAAAGACAATGACTTGCCTAGGTCACAACATACTGATGACACCTGGCATGTAATCACTCTTGGGTTTCTCCATGCTTACTAGAGTATATGAAGGAAGGAAGGACTTTTCTTCTCATTTTAGACAAGAAGGGTTGTTTCACACATCCCTCATGTTTACAGACAAGAGCAGAGATTGCAAGAGACAATCCTCCAGTCCTCTGGGGCTGTCCTGGGGTCTGGAGGAACCTGGGGACAGCTCCTGGCTCAGGCAGTAGAGTGCTATTCCACTAATGAGCAGAGCTGATCATCAGGGGGCAGTGTGGGCCCACTGAGCCAGCTGCTGCCTGACTGGGAGAGTGTGGGTTCAGCCTTGGCTTGTTGTCCCAGGCAGGGAAGTGTT